CAGCAAAATAATATCACCAGGGAAAGGCAAATCAAAACCACAATGAGATACTACTTCATACCCACTAAGATGGCTATAATAAAAAAAAAAGACTGATAATAACATCTGTTAGTAAGGACATGGAGAAATCAGAGCCCTTATGCATTGCTGGTAAGGATGTAGAATGGTGCAGCCACTTTGGAAAACAGTCTGGAATTTCCACAAAACATTGCAACAGGACCCAGCAATATCATTCCTAGGCATGTACCCAAGAAAATGAAAACATATGTCCACACAAAGATGTGTACACCAATGTTTTCAGCAGCATTATTCATAACAGCCTAAACAAGGAAACAACCCCAAATTATATCAGTTGATAAATGGATAAATAAAGTGTTATATACCTACAATGGAATCTTATTGAGTGATTAAAAATAAATTAAATATTGATACATGCTACGATGTGAATGAACATTAAAAACATTATGCTAAGTAAAAGAAACTGCTCACAAAGGATTGTATGTTGTATGATTCCATTTACATGAGATGTCTAGAATAGGTAAATCTAGACAAAAGTAGATCAGTGATTGCCTAGGACTTTGGGGAAAAGCAGGGGTGAAAGAAAAATTGGGTTGACTTTTCATGGGCATGGAAAGTTTTGCTGGGTGATGAAAATGTTCTAGAATTGATTATGGTGATGGTTGCACAACTCTGAATATACTAAAAACCATTTAATTGTTCACTATAAATAAGTGAATTATATGGTTTGTGAATTATATCTCAATAAAGCTGTTTAGAAAAATGTCTTGGACTTCAGTTATTCTATTGACCATATTAATATAATTTAAATCATGGACATAGAATGTGTATATTGATCCAGCTTTGCATAAACTCAGTGAATCACAAAGTAATCAACTATTTCATTTTTTGTATCCGAGTTTTCTTAATGAGAATTTAAATGTATTTCTGAATGAACTTGAAATGATCTATAGATACTTTAGTAGATGCCATATTTATTCCAAAGTAAAATGATTTTATGCCGTGCAATTAAGAGCATCATAAAAAGAAAATTTTTATTAACATCTTTTTTTGTTCACCATAAAGTAGGAAATATATTAACTTAAGTTTCCTTTAAATACTAAAATACTACAATATGTCCTACATATTATAACTAAATAATGCACAGTTCCATTTAAAAGATAAATTCTAAGTAGTCCATAAATTTTAAATAATCCTGGTAGTGTTTATGCTCTTTATAAAAAAAAATGGAATATATATATTCCATATTCCAAAAAAGTATATTTTTATAAAATTACTTACTATTAAGCTGAACATTATTTTTATACTAAGGTCATATGAATTTGAAACTGAAAAAAATAGTAAAGATTCTCATCCCAGTTACTCCTTTCACACACTCAAAAAAACTGAGACCTAAAGTGGTTAAACTTTTGTCCAAAATCATGATTGGGAAATCCATGGATTGAAACCAAGTTTCCGAATTCCCAAGGAAATGATGTTATCACCAAACCGAAATTCAAAAAAAAGAAAGAATATGTATTTGAGAATCTGTCAGTATGTATATGGAAAGTAATTTTATATACATGTTGTATGTTTCTATACTTGAATATATATAATCTGTTCATTTATAGCACTGATGTTTTTAAGTTGTGAGCTCCTAGAAGGCTGCATGTATGTCTACGTTAACTGTTCACATAGTCAACCTCACTCTCAACTTACCTGAGAATCTCTTATAAAGAATGATGATCAACAAGATTAAAACACAATGTAGTAATAATTTAACAAAATTATTTCATTTCCAGTGGAAGGCTTAAGAAAACTTCCATGTAGATGAGTCCATAAATTCCCCATAAGGAAACCCAGCACAATTTTATTTGAAGTAAAGGATTCTTTATTTGAAATGAGAGATTCTTTACAAACTTGTCCAGAGTGCATTAACGTATAGCATCCACCAACTCTACCATGACTCCTAAAATATGCTCATGAAATGATTACTTTTAATGGTTTTATACCCAGTTTGATTAAAAATCCCTCTTCTTACACCTTCTCCCCACCATCCAAATCTTCCCAGAATTGTCCTAGTCCTCAAATTACTCTTTTATCCTAAAACTTTCAGGTACCTCCAAAGCTTCTCTTCATCTATTTCATACTAAAGTGTAAGTTGCTGAAAGGTTTAAATCTGAGGAGTAGTCTCAAGAGGAATTCACATTTTTAAAATGAGGTTCCTTTTGTTCAAAATTTCACTAATTAATGTAAAGAGTGAGTGTAAATTAATGTAAATAGTGATCCTTTACTATATCAGCAACACTGTGCCCCAACCTCCTCTGGGGGCCACTGAAGTCTCCTGACCCCCTACATTCCAGAAACAGGGGTCAGCAACTGGGTGCCCCACTTGTGAAAAGCTGTTGACCTCTAGGAGGGAGCTTGTATGGAAGCAAGTGTTAATTTTCAAAATGTGACTGGTTGTGATAGCTGCAACCTCACCTCATCACAGTGTCCCCTGGAATGTTTTCTTGTCAGAGGGTCTAGAAGTGATCTGTCATCACTGGTCAGTGGTACAAGCAGCTCATTCTTGTAACCTTGCCCTTCTCCCCTGGACCTGAAACAAAACATACCACACTGCCCTCCTCACATTTGAATTTCATGTGTTCAACATTTGTCAGGGCTTCCCCTTCAATGACATGGTCAGAGCACCAAGAAATTACAGCTAACACATGAAAAATGAAAAAGGGGTTATTTCTCCATGCCTTCTCATCGAAAGCTACAAAATTTGTGTTTGGGGTATGCATGTGTGTGCTTATCCTTGGAGCAACATTTATAGACATTGTAAATGACTACCCTCCAAAGTCATAAAAGGGTTTAGCAAGACACTTTAATATATAATTTCTTAAGCACTTTTTTTAATAAAATACAGATATATAATTATAATTATCAATGCATGTATGTCATTTAACATAATGATAAAAGCCTAGTCATTGAAGTGACATGGTGATTAATATTTACAGTATAATCTAAAGGAAACAGAATTTGTACACTATTGCTAAATCAAAAAAAAAAAAAGATTAATAATACTCAAATCACCAACAGCAAAAAGAAAAATGCTTTCCTTATTAATACATATGGGTATAAATAATTACTTCCATGTTTTCTGAAGATGGAAAACTCGATCTTATCCTCCTTGAATTATACCAAGCACCAAGGCTGGGAAGGACTCATAGGACTTTTCCCAAAGCTTTGCAAGCTATTCATACCATACACAAATATTTTATATAGATCTACCTATTGGAAATATTTCATGTCCCTTCATACTATTCTTAAATTTAAAAATCAAACTTAATTTGATGAGCTGTTACAAAATGTATGAGGAAACTTATCAACATCTATGAATAGAGTCATATCCTGTGCAAATCCTGTTGAAACAGTAATCCCCTGAAACATCTAACAGCCGTGCTGTTTTAAAGTGAAGAAAATCAGGAGCTACACTCTCTCCCCATCTAAACTAGGGATCAGTTAAAGCAACTCTGTTTAGCACTAAAGGCAATCACACTGCTTTAGCTTGGAAAATATATGAACTGCAATGAGTCAACAGACAGACACGTTGTTTTAGTTTCCCATCAGACATGGTTAAAGCTCCTCACCATGCATTCTTAGCCTTTTATATTCATCTCATAATGAGCTATCAAGGTTACCTGTTTTGAAATTTTAAACTATGTATACATTATTTAAGGAATTTTTAAAAAATTAATGATGCTTTCATTTTTCCAGTTCTGGGGTTAAAATGCTGTTGAGGTTAAAAGTTTTATAGCTCCTTTATCATAATTAGTATCTTCCTCCTTAGTCCTCCAAGAGGGCCTTTATAATACTGGGCTTTGGCCTTTGCACTACAACCCCAAAAGACAGATTGCTGGAGATAACCCCCTGAAATTCCTTACAGTGTTATTTAACACCATAAAGGCCTAGAATCTATCTGTTTGGGGAAAGACTCAGAAGGACAAGGTTAAGGAGGGGAGAAGTTTCAATTTGTAGGAGTTACAAGACATAAGTAAGTAGTATAAATGCCTTTTTCCTTACTAATAGACCATAGGTCAGGAATCTCACATCAAGATAGCAAAGAATATCTTGAATAAAAAAACCATGCTATAAAAATCTAAGGAATAACTGACAATATTATTCCTCTTGATTTAGAAAGATAGACATTTCTCATTGGAATCAAAGAATTTGAGGTGGATTTATTTTCTTTTTGCCATTCTACTCACATACTCTTTCCCTAGTGAAAACTGGAACTTAAAAATGTTTATAGAACATTTTTTAACGGTCTACTTGGTAAATTAAATAGAATGGGCAGAAGATCCAAAATAACGAAAATTTATTATCTGCAGATGAATAAATACCTCTTATACGCCCAATGGGGGGAAAAAATCACAAGCCTCTCCTCCACTTCCTTGAGAAAATAATTATTATGGGTTATGGATTTTTACAGAACCATGGTCATATAGTGCCTATGGTAAGAGCTAAGAGAGAGCAGGAACAAACAAAAGCTGATCCTTCACGGTTATGAATACGTCAGAACTAATACTAAGACTTCGACTGGCTTTTGCATTTTAGTTTCTCACACTGTGCCCAACAATAACAGAAATCATCAGATTTGGTGTGCTGGTTACTGCTGGTTATCAGCACTCAAGTATGAAGCAGTATAGAGCATTTTTCTGATGAACTGTTACAAGTCTTAGTCTGGTTAGTATCATTGCCAAGTTTTAAGTTTGCTGTTTGGTTTTTGAAAGAGTCTGAGAACTTTGGTTAAATATACTACATTTATGCCAATACTCTGTGCAACGGGATGAAGCAGGGGAAAAACAGAGGGAGGATGTGGTTTTGTAGGCTTCGAAACTCCACGTGCTATGTACAGTATACATATAGACTATAGATAATTACAATCTCACCATAAGAAAGTAAAAAAAAAAAAATTCAGTGAGCCTTCATTTTCTATGTACATTTTACAAGCTACTGATAGCTTCTTTTCATAGCGCTTTTAAAAACACAAAGAGAAAATGAAGAAAGAAAATACATTAGGTCAATTTGAATGTCGTTTAACTTAAAGGCTTCATTAGACCATATGTGCAGACACTTGAGATGATGACAGAGTTAAGCTTCCTAGGGTCCTAGAGTCAAAGAAACTCTGCTGACCCCCACTGCTAAGCAGGTGCACTCCTTCCACAGGGGGCAACATCTGCCGATCCGTCATGGTCCCACTCGGCGAGGACCCCAAGAAACTTCCTTGGGAAGAAACAATTTTCTCAGGACTGGCAGCCAGTTTGGGGGATGTGGAAAAGTTATATCCATACAAGGCACAGGGGCTGTGTAACCTGAAAGTGTTATAGGAACCCTGATGGGTCTGGTTAGCAGCAAAGGCGTTGCTGGAGGGTGAAGGCATGATGTATTGGAGCTGAGGGGACATCCCCGAAATCTGCATGGATAGGCTGGTCTGTGGGCAGCTGAAGGTGTCCCCATCAGCACTGCCCATGGACATGTTCACAGAGGCACTACTGCTCACGCCCACATAGGAGGGAGTCCTGGGCGGGGCGAAGGTCTCGCTGGTCTGGTTGGTGAGCCTGTTGTAGGTCTCCGCCAAGGATGTGCTGTATCGGTTGAGGGTGAGGCCGGACCGGGCGCACGCAGAGTAGTCAGCCGGAGCCAGACTACACAGCTGGCTGGTATTGGGCCCCAGATGGAAGGCAGGAGATGAGCAAGGGGAGCCAGACAAAAGATGAGGGTGGGTAGCAGCAACGCCATTCCCAGAACCTTGGAGTAAGGTGGAAGAACTTGTATTTCCTACAAGAGAAGGTGAAATGTAAGAGCAACGACTCTACAGCCATCTTTTCCTTTCAGTTTTGTAAACAGGAGCTAGACACTGCTTGTTATAAGGGTGCTACAAAGATGAAAAGGACATGGTTTCCGCTCCCAAAGAATTATAATTTAATTGAACTCAAATGAAATACTTTAAACACAGATCCTTTCAATATTTCCAAGGCAGCTTATCTCCCCAGGGGGTGATGTATTTCTTCTTTATTGCAGAAATATTAGGATACTACCACACGAGATTTCCACATTTTCTTCCTCAATTAGCTGTCTCAAGTTTTCTCAGTTATTATCATGTTATAAACACTGACTTTCCCAGCATCTTTATAAAATATAAATTTCATCTTACTCTGTATCTTGTTCCAAAAGTATAACCGTTGCTTCTCCTCTACCCAGCTTTCATCTTTTCTTTCAGCAGAGCGTGCTCTGGACCAATATGTTTTCTTACAAGAAAAAGAAGGAATTCAAAGGGAAGAGCCGGACTGGTCAGAGGCACATGCTGCCTTGAACGTGTCCGCAGCTGGCCCCCGAAAGTTTGTGTGCATCAACGGCTGCTCTACGCAGGGTTTGGCTACTGCAATAGGCAATAGTCTAATACTTCAAAGTTTTTCATTTCCAACCAGAAACAGGTGGATGAATCACATGCTAACACAAGGGCAGATGTCCAGCAAACAAACAACCCTGTGAAACCGAGAGGCTGGTTAACCCTGTGTCCAATCAATAACGGCGATGGTGGCTGGCTCCCCTCTCTGGATTTGCTGGCAGATCGATGTTTGCAAACTCAACAGAATTTAGGGGGAGAGAAGAATTATAACGAACTGAACAAGCTGTGAAACCTTCATTGCACTAGCGACAGTGTTTGACATAGCTTCTCAAAATAATCTCAAAGCCCAATCCAACCAATGATAATTATCTAAAACACAGTATGTTCAATTCTCCCTGGGGAGCTGGGCAGGATCCGCCTCCATAGCCTGAGTGTGGGTGTGGGCTGAGTCCCACCTATTCCGGGCAGAGCAGCAAGGGGCATGGAAGCATCATTCCTTTAGGTGCAGATCCCTCTAAGGAAACACTAGCCCTGGGCTTGGGAGAAATACTTGGAAGTGAACCCAGGGAAGTCTGCCCAAGTGTGCCTGACCTTCTCATCATAAATCCAACAGAATAACCTTGTCTAGAGGCAATTCTGGAGAAGAAAGGGGCTGGCAAGAAAAGATGAACTAGAACCAGCAATGGCACTTTATCGTGCAGTGCACCTGGCACTAGCGCCCCCAGTCCAACTGTAATTTTAACAAGAGCTGTAAGGTGAGGTAAAGGTCATGAAATATATAAACAGCCTAAAATATTGAAGACTTAAGCTACGACCACAGTTGCCATTTTTCCTGGTCCATCGCCACGCCACTCAGAGACGGATCCTGAAATGGGAGAACGCTGGTGATGAAGTCGCCACCGTAGATAGAAATAATGACTCGCGTGTTTTTCAGTTCCCAAGCTTCCAGGCAGGAACTGGCTGTTTATAGGACTGGAAGACGCTGTAATTTACCTTGCTTGGGAATTCCAGGAATGTCTTCAAAGGTAAGAGTCCGCAGCGAAGGCCTCCAGAATGCATACGACTCCACAAGGGCTTCCAGACCCATTCTAAACAGAGGGAGCAGGATGGGGTGGAAAAAGAAGCTGCATTAGGAAGGAGCACTGGAGCCTTCCTCAGCAATAAGCAGTCCAGGACAACGCGGTGGTGTTGACAGCGCCCCCCCCCCCCCATTTGGCAGGTGAGAAGCTTAGCACAGGCAGAAAGAAATGCTTCAGAGATGGGCTACCACAGGAGCACAAGAGGATGGAAAGCACCCAAGAAGTCCTGTTAATGTCAGAAAACTAAGCCGACCTCAGAGGATAAAAATCTGTCCCCTTGGGCTAAGTTGAGGAGAAGAGCGGCCATCCTAGCTGATGTGATGCCAAGGTGCTGCTGGGATCTGGAACCCACCCTCTCTCCCTGTTACATTACTTCTTCCTCTGCTACGAAAGCATGCCCTGTGGAGCCACCTCATTCCTACGAGGCATTTCTGCCCGTCATTCGTTGCCTCGGCAGCCAGCTTAGAAGAGCACTCCTCCAACGAAAACGGATTTCTCTCTCAGGCGCCCCGTCTCTACCACATCCAGGGCAGCCTGGATAGCTGTCACTCCAGCAACAGGGGGTCTGAGAGGTAGCACTGGCTTTTCGGCCCATTGTGCAGGTGGAGCACAGAAAGGTGGTCTCGCAGGGGGTAAGGTATACAGAGCTAGCATTAGCATCAAACATTATTTTTAAATCCCAACATACACTTAATGGATGGATACTTAAAGAGACAGGACAAATTGGTTACATACAATTTACATGATATATTCATATTTTAAAACAAGGGTAACTACGCTAAATACATATATTTGTGTAGGTATCTCCTAACATAAGTGACTGAGTCTTTCCCTTGTTATATCAGATAACTAAGTCCTCCACGTTCTGGAAATGAGGTCCTTCATTCACATAGCCCATTCTCAAGACCACGCCGCTCTTCCCTCCACCACCTCAGCCCTAAACAGTGTGTTAATCCAGATAACACTGCTTTTCATGAAGCAGGTAGCTCCATTGTAGGAAATGCTGCTTCCTGAGTGTCAAACAATCCTTGGTCATCTCCTGTGCCGGTTAGGTAGAGTCTTATTTAACACAGACAATCTGTATTTAATGTAGCTAGTAAAGACAGATCTATCTCTAATAGCTTAGACTCAGTGTGCTCCCTCCTCTGCCTTCACTGCATGTCTGTGAGGAACTATGAACTATGACTAAGGACCCCTCCCCCAATAGACAACACCAGTGGTAAGTGATGTGTGTGAGCAAAATCATCTCACACGACCTGCCCTTCTCTTCTAAGGTTTTACACACTGAATTTCCTTCCTTAGTGTTCAGGGCACAGACCTATTAATTGGATGACTTCTGTCATGACTCCATGAGGAGCATGACCTTCCCATCTTAGTGACGGGAGACAGCTGTGTGTGGATGGGTGGTGAGGTACATGCACAGGCTTGTAAACATGAACCATTCTCATGAGATACACATGGACCTGCTTCATCTCTGAAGTCACAGGTTCACGGGGATGCTGCTCTGGGAGCGCTTCCAAGAGCCGTCACCAGTGCCACACAGGTGCGAGCAAAGGGCCAAGGAGGGGAGAGCCAGGCACAGAGTGACCCGCACGGGCCTACCTGAGCTGCACTGAGAGTGCAGGGCAGGCTCTGGTTCCAGATGTAATCAGTGTGCCACCGAGAGAGCACTGTTTAGTGGTGAGGACATTGGATTGAGGGTCCAGAGAATTGAGTTGAGACCGCAACTGATGAAAACTCACTATGTGGCCTTAAGTAATTGTTCTAACCTCACTGAACTTCCCACAAAGTGAGGATTAGAACACAAAAGCTATGAATCCTGTCCTTGCTCTAAAGTTGTTTGCTACTAAGTGATTTTCCTGAACCAGACATCATATCTGTGGCTGACCACAAGCCAAATCCAAGATCACTCTACCGAGTAATGTTTCATGTACATTCAAGTATTAATTAGGGGAGTTTGGCAGCCTGCATGTAGCCTGCATATCATTTAATGCTCCACTAACGAATGCTAGGTGCTGTTTAGTCGATTACTCTATATTTGTACTAATACTAAAATTGTATGACTTTCTAGAAACAAGCTTTTGTAAATGTTAAAGAATGCTAGGACACAGTTTTATATAAAATTTATTTTTATTACCACCTAGATGAGTTTTAGTAATCGTAGTTTTAAATATTAAAGATACCAAAGTGGTCATGAAGTGGTCTCAAAGGAGATTTACTAAGAAGTAATTAAGGAGCAGCCACTGGACTTAGAAATGTATTAACTATAGTGATGAGCATTACCGCATGACTTGCATTAGTAGTGTACACTTTGTTATGCTTCAATTACAAATCCATAGCCTAAATTCTTGGGGAGGAGTTATTGATCATCCAGACACAGACCCCTAAGCTTTAAAGAGGAGTTCTGAAGGTGACATATCTACAACTGATCTAATTGGAGCTATTGATATTTTTCTTGAGGCTGCTGTTTCACACTGCAAGTTCCAGAAAGGATTTCAGATATTTTGCAGGAAACAGTTATAAAATATTTATTAGCTGAATCTGGACTTTTTAAAAAAAGCCTTCATTTTCTCCAGTAATGGAGACTTTTCCCGTCTAGTTAAAGAAAAGATAAAAGGCACCTCCTGCAGGAGTGTAGCCAAGGCGATAATTTATACAAGATGCCTTTGAACAATTTCCACATTTTATCACCACCCTAATTTATGCTATCAAATGGCCAAGTTTATTTAGTAAAATGGTTATGTTTTTCCTAAAGTATTTAAAGAGAAGAAATTTTTGTACCTTCCTGAGTAAAAAATTTTATAGGGTCAAACCTAAGGCCTAACTGAAGAATGAAACTATTCTCAGCACATAAATTCTCTTTCACGTAGCAAATGTCTTGCAGGAGAGCTTTTAAGGGCTGAAGCTACTGATTCCTATAAAATAGGCTGTTCAACCGTAAATAGCCAGGCAGGGATAATTTTTAATTAAAGCAAATTGTTTTATAAAGTTTAAAAAATCACAAGTCCATGTTTATTTCTTGTCCTGCTTAATTTGTTTATTTTATGTATGGGGGAAAAATAAAAATAGAATTTGCATTTAAAAGCAATAACAATAGCAACAGAACCAGGGATATTAAAGAAATATACTGAACTTTTTCTCATGGGTATCCTTCTCTAATATATGTTAAAACAATATATATCAGTCCTCCTCCAAGCCCTCAGCACCAATGTACCCTCTCCAAGTTTTAAATATACCTCAGGTTCTTTTTTCTTTTAAGAAAAATAATACATAAATTAGAAAGCTTTAAAACTGACCAAATTCTCTCTTCTCCAGATAAGTGTCTTTTGCATTTATCAATAGAAAATGTTAAAATCAGATATTTTTAAATGGGGAATATTGGTTAATAGATATTTAACATTCCAAAATGAGCATAAAGAATTTAAGTATGATAGAAACAGAAGAAAAGTGAAACTATTAATTTCACCAACATGAAATCTATGTAGAGGCTCAACATGTTTTTCCTATACTAAGCTATTGTTTAAACATTTGAAGCAAAATAAAAATTTTAAGTTTTAGCAAAATTTAAAGTGTTAAAAAATAATTCATTATTTTTTGTATATCCATTAAAAACGCTAAAAGTTTTAGAGTCAAGAAAGAAACAGTAGTAAGTAGCATGGATACTATGCCTCTATGCTCCTGAAACAGCCAAAGGGAAGGAAAATATTCATCTTAAACCTTGCATTTTGACCTCGCCAAACAATAGACTTAGATGTTGACTTTTACCAAAGCTACTGAGTTTTTTCACTGACCAAATTTAAGAAAACAAATGCTTTTGCATTATGCTGACATATCTAGAAATCTTCCTGAAAACGTATCATATGCATCCTATTATTTCACTTCTACTTATAGGTTTATTCACTATTATTATCTACCCAAAATATGCCTTTAAAAATATTTTTAAATTTATTGCTTCAAAAATAAACCAACAGGGTGTAAGCAGTGTGACACCCCCCCACCCCCACCCCAGTGTCAGCAGCAGTGAGGTCTTGCTGGAGCTAGCCTACTGGAGAGCTTGGACATGGTTCCTGGCTGTGTACCCTCCAAACCTCTATGCTGCCCTGAAGTTTCAGTGAATTTTAATAAATGTATTCTCTGCTTTAAAAAAAAAAAGAGTAACAAGGTGAAATATATACAAGATTCTTAACTGGATAAATGCTATTTTGCTATAACCAAAACCACAAGAAGATTCCATCAAAGTATTTGTCAAAGTAGAAACGGAGTCCTCCCAAAGGCTTCCTTCAGTCACCTCACCAGTAACCATCTCAGCTACTAAATTATTCAACTTTCAGAAACTCCTCTGAAAAGCAAAGTTAACCAGGAGCTAATGTAACATAACAAAAGCCAAGCAACATTTTTCTCCACATTAAAACAGATATCTAAAAACACAGAATAATTTCAGTATTGCAGACATTGTAGTTTAGAAACACATGCAAATCTTCCCACAGAGTGAAAAATTTCAGAGGGAAGCCCTGTTATTAGTCTTCTTAACCTACCTGCACCAAGTTAAAGGTTACTCCCAAAGAAGTATTTTAGTTGCCTTTTAGTTCTCACATTGGCCATGGTGTTCAGACGAAATCATGGCATAGAAAATGAAATCAAGTCTCTGCAAGCACTTGAGTGTATTCTGAGAAAAGGTCTCTGTCTACCCCTTCCTTGCCCAATTACTCAGCTGAAAGAACTAAAAACTTGTATTACTACTTGATTGTTTTCTCTCTATAATTTTAAATGAAACTGTCCCTGAAATAAGATAATTGAGGATTTTGATTTCAAGTGGACACAACCTATCAAAATCAAGTTTTCAGGGATTATTAGAATAATTTCTGGAGTAAAGGAATAAAAATTTCTCAAATACTTTTTAAAAAACAAAATGCTTTTAAAAACATTTAAGTCAAAGCCTTACCCTGAAAAGGCATCTGGAGAACGTTAGTCTGTTATTACTCTCTACTACTATCAACAGTTATTTTAGAAAATGTTGCACTGAACTGTATTGGAATAAAATCATATCAATAAATTCAAAAACTCTTGGCGCACAGACTAGGGTGATCTGCTTTTTGATAAAAGTAATAGAGTGGAATTCATTATTGTAGCTCTCCCACTTAGTACAAACACCATAAAACATGACACAGAAAAAATAAACAAGTGTGTGGCTGTCAGCGGAGCCAAGACAAATTTGGAAACTAAAGAACATCAACTCTCTTGGCAATGGGGAGTAGTTTCATGTTCTAGCTGGAAACCTGAGAGAACAAGAGACCTCGCCATATTCCGAAGACAGAATCAATACATAGTTGTGACATCACTAAGCAAATTCTAAACCAAGAGCATATGCAGAGAGGATACTGACTTGGATATGGAAGTCAGTCCCTGGGCCTTTAAAGGCAGCATGTGCTGTATGCCCTGAGAACTTGCATTTTCACCCCAGCATCACACAACGAAGTTCTTCTTAAGAATGGGCAGGATACACTATACCCAAAAATAAGTTACAACCAAGGCTCAATAGTATTAACAAATTCAAATCCTCATCAGAAATTATTTCAAAACTATTTACTTTGTAATTGGACATTCACAATAAAAACAATCAAACATATTTACCACAGCCAGAATGTTCTTCGCTAAGACTTACCTGTTTCGCCCGGAGTCTCGGAAGCCTTTGGCAAATGGATTCCTGTCTATCTTCAAGCGAGTAATCTGCAGAGTAAAAAAATAAAAAAAACACATCAGATCTTATTATAAATGTCAAGTAAGGTTATTAAAAATTAAAATGATGGAAGAACTACAAGTAATTCCAAAATTTAAGTGTCAAAATATTCTACTATGTTTCTCTCTTATTCCCCATGTATTTTATTATCTTAGCAGCAAGCTAGAAGAAAATTTTAGAAATCATCCAGACATGTATCTGCTATGAAAAAAGAGATCCTCCCACCCCTAATTCAAGCTCTGTGAACAAAGTTTGTTTTGCTTTTACCGTGCCTAGAAAAGGAGATTCTGAACAGTCTGTTGGTAACTTGTCCTTTATTTTCAATCTCTCTGAACTAAAAGTTCTTCCCTTTAACTCGGTGACAAGGTTTAATCCTATGTCTCTTACAATGGTGGTGATGGAAAACAGCAAATATCCAACTTCAATTTAACAGCCATTTATATGCCTGAATGTTGTTAAGCTCCTATGTACCCTTCTCTTCTAGAGTTAGGTAATATACACTCCTTTAGCTTTTCTGCCTCTGTAATTTTCTGTCTCTCCTTGAACCATCTTTGTGACTCTCGTCTAAAAGTTTTACTTGTTCTTCTTTTATCTTTAGAGTCCTGACATCTCCAGGGAACTACAATAATGTCTAACCAGAAGTAACCGCTATTTAAAGTGTCTAATGGAATTAAATCTTATACATGTAGTAGAAATAAGTGGTGTTTTAATTTTAACTACAGTTCTAACTTGCTGACTCATAACCAGGTTTTTACCCACTAAGACCCTAAGATTTGGGGGGAAATATAGTCTAATAACCTCCATTTTTTAGTTATTTCATCTTGAAATTAACACTAAACAGCATCCCATCTATTTCTTTCCAGATCTCCACTTTACCCAGAGGAAATTACTGCCTACTTTATAAGAAGCACATCATGCTTTGTTTTCTATGTTCCTTAGTTGAGCAGAATCTACAAAGTTAATGAACATACTTCTGCTTGTACCATTTAGGCTGAGGACAAACACTGTTGGCAAAGAAAGGCATCTTTGGAAAGTCATCTTCAAGGCCCCATGTTGTCCTGCACATGCTTTCAGCCATCCTCCAATCAGCCTTGTAACACCTGAGATACATGAGTCTCTTATAGACTAATAGTATGTGATAAAACTACATTATAAATGATATAATGTAAGGGTTTGCTAATTAATTTACTGTGTCTGCCACTCTCATTGAAGGAATTCTTTATCATTCATTATAGCTCAATTCTCTGTTCATTAAATAATGTTTAAAAAACATTAAATAATATAATCATTTAAAGTAGTCTTTAAAAAGAGTACAGATTTATATAATGGTACCATGATTAAACAGAGATATAGCACAATTACCATTATCATTATTTTTATTACTGACATCACATCTATTGAGTATATACCATGCATGCTGTACTAAGGATTTTATGTATATTATTGTGTCTAATTCTCATGGCAACTTATATGTAGTTATTATCCTAATTTTATGTTTTCTTTTAAACTGAGGATTAAGTTTCCTATGATCATAAGGTTTCTTGGTGGTAGAACTGGGCTGGGACCCTAGGCTTTAGAGCCCATCTGTTAACCACCAGGCTAGGCTTCTTACCAATTTTCCATAAGTTCTTCAAAATAGTAGCCTAGAAGTTTTAAAATGAACATGATTGCATTTTACCATTATCAATTTCCCTTCTTTTAATTTTTCTATCCTCTTAATCAATTTGTCAGCATTTGTTAATTGGTGTTGGTCACCAACATGTACCCAAAGTTCACTGTATCTCATTTATTGTTTCACAGAGGTTGGAAAAAAAAAAAAAAACATATTTAACACAGTTAATGTTTGTGTGTTCAAGAAAGAGGGAGAAAGAGACAGTGACAGAGAAAGAAGATGAGTTGGGTTATTTAAAAGGTACTAAATGACCCTGCTCTTTTCTCCACATGCATTATTTCTTTCCTTTAAAAATATTCACTTTCTGCACCTAACATATTTTAAGAATACCTTCCTAATCATCTCTAGCCCTTCCAGAGATTAATTCCTGTTGCTTCCTAAAAGCCTGCTGGAAGACCTGACCATGTGAGGGTGAGAGGACAGGACTGCGTGGCCCTGGGGCTAGTGTCTCCACGGGGGTGACAGTGAGCGAGCCTTAGAGGAGGTTGCACAGAACGGGACCCACATCTCCTAAGAAGTTTTAAAACAACAGCAACCACAACAGAGAGATTATAAAGCCTTAAAATTTTTAACTGAGATGTATATAAATTTAAAGATAAATGGAGACTTAAAATAATTCTGCTGACAACTAAAAAAACTTTTTTAAATGTGCCACAAACCACATCAGCCTCAAGCACATCCCAATTTCTTATGGAAACTGACCAGAATTGTATGCATTCAACAATTGGTTTGATTCAATTCTCCACCTATTTGACATAGCCTTAAAAATATATGTACACTTACCCATACAGAAAAGAAATACTTCATTTCTCGAATTATTTCCAAATTTAGGAAAGGATTACTCCACAACTGCTGGTCTCTCAGATTTGAGCATGAGCATCACCCTCTATCACAACTAAAGTGTATCTTGAAAGAAACAGCCCTTTATATATATATATATATATATATATATATATATATATATATATATATCTCCAAATAACTATAAAATACAAATGCTTTTGAGATATTTCTCATCATACATGAATTGTAGTTTTCAAATAAAGCTACCAAATCCCATGCTCTGTGAGACAACTCACTTTTCCTATTCCACATATCTATTTCCTATGTAATATACACACTTTCTAATTTAACTATGACATCGTGATTCAATATCTCAAAATGGAAAGTAAACCCATACTGTCAGTCACGAGACACATTCTTCTCTAAAAAAATCCTCACTAGAGTAGCCTTACTTTGGGAATCATCGATGAAGAATTTTAACTACAATATATAAACCCTGGACATCATATATGGCAAATGCTTTGTGACAATTCACAATGTTTAGATATAGTAAAAGGATAGCTGGCTTTCTATTTACATCTGAAATGAAAGTCTAGAAAGTTACCAATTCTGAGAACAATACCTGCTGATTCTGATAGGCCGTGACAGTGGTGAAGACAGTTTCTGGAAAAGAGAATGCTTTCACTCCCTCCCCAGAGGGCACAGGCTTGATGGGAGAAAGATCATCGCCACAGTCTTTACGGATGACATGGACGCGAGGTTGGTATTTGTGCATAGAATGAAGAATAATCTATGTCAAAGAGAGAAAAGCCAAATTTATCAGGAAAATCTGCCCAATTTTAACACCATAACTAAAATAAAGCACAGTTGGAAATAAGAATTTCCAAGGATACAGAAGTGTGAATTTAATAAAGTATATCAAAATTAGAGAAGAAGAGCTAGAGAAGTTATTTTCAAATGTGCATAAAAATACAAAAAAAAAAAAAATCATTGTTTTGGTGAAACCCTGCATATAACCATGTGAACTTAACATCAAGTTTTCTGTTTCTATAGATACAAAAATAAATTCATAAGTATTTTACTTATAATGAGCCAAAAGGAACCCGGAGTCAAAAGCAATAAAACTAAAAGTGAGATTGAAAAGATTATTTAACTTCCACCACATTCATTCTCTAAAACAATGAGTATTTGAACTCCAGTGTTTTCTTCAGAGGACATTCTTCCCCTGTTAATGACTGCAACATGTCTATCGGGGACAAAGAGAATTTTAAGTACTCCAGAGTCTGCCTTATGTGTGGCTCATGAAGTCTCTGGTGTGTCTGGAGAGCCCAGTGTCCATACCTTCATCACAATGAGGCTTCCAACACCCAGACACCAGGGATGGAAAAGCTGTGCTCTCAGACTCTGCTGGGGAATCTGATAATCTGCTTCAACTATTTTCTACCTGATGATTACACTATGAGAAAGTATCCTATGAAAATATTCAAAATCCAGAGAGGCATTTCATGTACAAGGATGTGCAGCACACCATTTACAACAGTGAGAAAACTATAAAGCACTTATATGAATAGATTGGTTAGGTTAATGAAAGACAACACAACTGGATACGGCATTATTCAGCCATTACTAATGCTGTTTAGGACATTTTAACCACATAATAAAATGCTTCCTTTTAAATCTTACACGATAAAAAGGGATCCACATTGTTTATAAACTTATCACAACTATATAAAAATAGACAGTAAAAAGGACCCATACAGAGATATGAACAGTGATCATCTCTGGATGATGAGATTATGGGTGAATTTTTTTTTTCATCTTTATATGCTTTATGCTTTCAAGGTTGAAGAGGTGGGGTGAAGAAACAGCCTCACCCAACAGGATTTTCTATGTGCTATTGGGACTCCATATTCATTAATAAGTTTAGTTAACAAGTTCTATCTTTCCTGAGTTATATGATTTGAATTCAGGTTTGGGGGTGTTAGGGAGTTTGGAGGGAAAAATGCTTAAGCAAAAGTCTTGGAAAAACACAGTGGTTGACCTGCCTTGTGTTTTTCAGGATCCAGGCTGTTTAATAAGCCAAAGTCAGAACCTTAGATCAGCCCAAATACAAAGAGCTCTCTAACCCGACAGTGTATTGCTGGCACAAGAGGATGTCTTTACACTCTGGTAATAACCAGCACATTGGCTAGTTTTGTTTTGTTTTGTATTTTTACCCTAAAAATCCTTTCCATCAGTGGAGTAAATGCCTCCATAGCAGACATGCTTGGGGGCGGGGGGGGCAGTGTAAGTTTGAGAAAAGGAGAAGAGAAGATAGCAGCCTTCATCACCACCTGAGGACATACAGGGACCTGCAACCTCTGGAAAAGTCTCTAAGTCTGAAAAAGAACAGAATTTCAGTCACCTACTACTGGCTCACAAAATCAGTTGAAAGAGTTGCTGCCAGGAATTTTTAAAATAAATGTAATTATAAAACAAAGCAGAAAACAGAATGTGCTGCTTGTGGTAAGGATAAGTGTTGTTCTGCCAAACATTGTTTTCTGCGTGCACGCCCACACTAGGTTGTACCGTCAAGTGTATGCCTGACTGTGAGTCAGGTAAATGTCTGAAAAACAGAGGCAAGTTTTAATTCAAATGATTCTAATGACCAGCAGCTTCCAGAGCAGAAGAAAAACTAGAGAAAGCTACTTCACGTTAAACAACTCACAAATGCATAGTTAATTTCAGAAGACTAGAATGAACTGACTTGAAATGAAGGAAACAAAAACGGATTTGAGTTTCTGTTTATCAGTCAATGGAAAGCAGGTTCTTGTTTTATGAAGTCTTTGTTCTCTCAAGCAGATTTCTCCACATAGCTATATACATTTTAATTTTTTTATTTGTTTCTATCCCTACCAAACTTCCAGTGACTTAAGGTGAGGTATACTGAGGTAGGGTACAGAAATAGCTGTTGTAGGCCATTAAAGAACAACTGCCAATAATAATCTGAAGATTAATTAAACAAAATAATTTTCAGTATTATCTAGAGAAATTTAATATCTCCCTGGAAGTTTTTAGGGAATGCTAAACAAGTCTCAATTTTTCTTTATAACATAGCATTATTTGATTTTTAATAAACTATCAAACTTATAATGATGAGCAGTCAATAATATTTTGCTTATTTAAGAGAACAAGTAGAGCAAGGAGAACCACCGGCCTCGTAAACAGGAGACTTCAATGATAATGCCCATCACCGAAACTCAAATCATCACATCTAATCTGCATGCTCCACACCCTCTGCTCTGTTTAGATGGAGGATTTCTTTTCTTTTGGCATTACCTAGTAGCACAGATATCACATGGGCCTATGTCCATAACACAGAGTGCAGCTTTGCAGGTTAATACACGTTTTTTTCCTCTTTTAAAGACACTAGGCTTGAGTCAAAAGAAGCATGCTACTACTTATGTCTGATCTGAGGGCCCAAAGTGCCTGCAGTTTGACAGACATGCCAGCTGTGCCTTATAAAACAGCCCAATAGGGAAGCACTACCTGCTGACTCTGGAAATTTTCGATATGACCTAAACGCCAGCGTTGGTACAAGTCAAGCAAACCATCAAGGAAAAGAGAAAACAAAAACCTGACTCCCTGTATTTTTGGTGATACCAAGGACTGACTCACTTTAAATGGCAGGGGTCAATGCAGTAACACCAAGTTGCAAGCTCCATAACGAGGCGGCCTTGGTTTTGTTTCAGGCATGATGCTGTATATAAAGCACTCCTTACAAATATGTACTTTCAAGTTCATCAGCTCATTTGATTCACTTAACTGCTCTGATTCCAACATAACCCATGAGAAAACTAAGCCTCTGAGAGCCAAAATGACCTGCCCATGAATGACTTGGACCTTTAAGCTGTTGCAAGTTCTTTTTATCAAGGAGATCTTAGAAATCTCCCCTGTAATATCTTGCTTCCCCACTACATTCTCAAGCAGAAATGAGAACAGCATGAGGACCTCTATATCACTCAATCCTCAGCAGCTGGGAAAACAGACCCTTTCATAGGTAGCTTGCTCTGGCTGCCTGGCTGAGCTGCCTCCAAAGCATCCCAGGACTGTGGGTACAAGTCCTGCTGAGGTGTAAGGTGCACCAGTTAAATGTCTTCTAATTCTTCAGGAAAATGCTCATCTAAATGTTTCCCTCCAGACAGTAAATTTCAGGGGAATTTACATGCACATGATGAGAAGAAAATACCCCACCCAAGCATGCTAACCACCTGTACAGGGGTAACCCAAGGACTAGTCTTGATTTGTATAGAATCCAACATCAAGCTGGCTACAGATTCCCCAAAGAGCAAGTAGAGATTATAAAGTCTTCACAATATTCAAAGATTAGCTGTGGAGCAGTGGGACATTTCCATTCTAGATTCAGACCAATATTCCTCTCTAAACAATCCCTGGTATTTGGAAAGATAAAAAGTCACTTTGGGGGAAATAATAATGACACATAATCTCAGAAACCAGGCGGGTCCAGCCCTGTGAGAATTTGATTCCTGCAATCACTAGGGGTTTCATAAAAGTTTCAGGTCTACATGGAGTTCTCAAGTCACTGTGTTGAACACTTTTACATCTTTAGCAGAGTAAAACTGGGAACTGGGAGGACAAAAAATGTAAGAAAGCAATTTAGAAAGCAAATTAGAAAATCACTTCTCATTTGAGTCTAGGGCTTGATTAGTTAGAGATCAGTATCACTTCCTTTACAACGGGGACAGGGGACCTCAGCCACGGAAGGGCAGAGGGGTGAGTTCCTTAGAGGTCTCTGCATGAGGAAAGGGACTACTGAATGAGAAAGTCCCACCACAATGGTATTGCTGTCTTCCTAAACCTGAATCACATCAACAATAGAATAAGAAACAAATTCCTAATCTCTAACCTAAACTCATCTGGAGTCATCAAACTGAGTAAATAAACACAACAGACACTCTCTCCATGAAACTTCCCCAGTCTCTCCTGGCTGGAACAATGTGGCATCTGAACTTCTCTGAGCTGACAGTGTGATTATTTGTATGCGTGTCTTGTCTCCCCATCTAGGCTTGAAGATCACCAAAGGCAGAGACTGGGGCTTTTTCTCTTGCACTATATTTTACAAAGTCTTCAAAAACATGTTTTTAAAATAAATAATGAAAGAGCATTTTCCCCTCCTACATTCTCCTCTAGTATCAACTGATACATTTTTACCACTTGCCAAGGCCATGTCCTTGCTTCCAAAATGCACAGGTATATGTCTGTCTTTCCCTGTTCCCCACACACATTAATTACCTCCAATTATCAAAGTATTATATCCTACCACAACCTTGCAAGAAAAATTTCACTGGTTGATGACACACTTATCTGGATTTTGCCTGTTTTCTGCTATGTTTTTGTTTTTCCCAGTAGTAAAATATAATAATTATTTAGTTATAAACAATTAAGTTTCAATTGGTAATGTTTTGTGTTTTAAACAAATGCTGTATGATAATTAATTTTATGTTTCTACTTGGCTATGTCATGGTACCTATATATTTGCTCAAACACCAGTCTGGATGTTTCTATGAAGGTATTTTTTAGAAACGTAACATTTAAATCAGTAGACTTTGAGTAAAGCAGATTACCTTCCACATTATGGGTGGGCCTTATCCAATCAGTTGAAGACTACTAAGAGAAAAGGACTTAGGTCCCCTGAGGAAGAGGGGATTGCACCTCCAGACTGCCTTCAGTCTTGAGCTACAACATCAACCCTTTTTTGGGTCTCTAGCCTGCCAACCTAGCCTGCAGATTTCAAACTTACCAGGCCCCAAAACTGCATGAGCCAATTCCTTAAAATAAATCTCACATACTATTGGTTCTGTTTCTCTAGAAAATACTGTTTTAAATGAAGTCTAGTAAAATTACAAAGTTAAAATCGTATAAATAAATCCCTAGATCTATATCTAGTATTATAGATGTTAGATATTAAATATAAAGCCACTAATCTGATCTGAAAGCATTAGAATTATAAAATGATTATATTAATTTAAATTATGTAAAGCAGTTGTACCTTATCTATGACAGTATAATGATTTTAAAACCAATTATCTCTTTCAAAGATATATTTTCAAACTATTGAACTCAGAAAAGTAAAATACATTTAATCTTTTTAAAACAAGTAACACTCAATGGCATTTATTTTGTAATTTTCTATTCCAAAAAAGTAAAAGATCCCTCAATGGACATGCTGGCAACATATCACAGTCAGTTCCCTCAATGAGACAGAAGTAACTAGTGTTGTTTCACTGAAGTCAAGTGAAAAATAATTGGTATGACTTGACTGTGTAAATAAAGAATTAAAAAAAAGAGAGAGATGAAGTAATGCACTAAAATGTAGGGCATGAAGTTGGATTTAGAAATGAACTCTACTATGCTACCTTTCTAATTCTGTTTTAAATCATAAAAGACAACAAATAAACAAAAGCACTGGCAACATGAGATAGATGTGTCTTAAGCTCTAAATACTGCCTTTGTACCACAATGAAATTGTACTAGAATGTTTTCATTAAGGTCAACTGTTTACGTTATTGTCTAGCAACTTGCAAATCATATCCTGTTTTCACAGTATTACTAGTTTATGACAGTTTGTATTTTTGCTTTAAAAGATTTGCTCATAAATATGCTATCTTTAAGTCATAAGAAATGAACTAGTTGGTATTCATTTTATGTATGATGTACTAGTCAAAGGCATTTTAATCCTGCATCAATCAAAATCCTCTCAAATAATAGAAACCTAATAGAAGAGCTAGCTTTCAACAGAAATCAGCATGTATCCAGTTATTTATTAAAATAATAATGTAGAAATTTTGTCTATGAACAATATTACATAAAAATTAATAAGGTGTTAAAATGACTATATTATTGGAATGGCTGACTTTGCCTTAATATATCATATTTCAACAGTTTTAAAACTAAATGTAATTATTATTTTAATATATTTTGACACATTAGATGTCATTACAAAACAATTAGGAGTTTGCAGATGGAACATTACTGAGAAGAAATGAGCCACAGCTGGGAAAAGAGCTGGACCCAGGCAGGACACAATAAATCATTATTCCAGTTAAGCCAATTGTATTCATATTAAGAGTATAATAATTAGTACCTCATGGGATTTCAAACAAATGTTTTGTCTAAATTATCTGCCTGAGGTCCTTTTATTCCAATATAGATGTAGTATCTAGTTTTAATCTGCTTCATAGGATACTCCAGCCACAGGCACAGTCTCTGGTGCAAATATCGCCTTGATTTTGCACAGCTTATGCACAGACTAATCAACCAGGAGAGTAATATTATGATCTTAGAAAAGTTCAATTCCTTCAGTCCGGTACCGTATCGACATGGGTGTGCCATCCAATGGTGGCAAATTATGGAGGCCATCTACTCACATGGCCTTGGTCATCCAGTTCGTTATTGGTGAGCTTTAGCTTGTCGAAGCTGATCACTTGTCTCATCCAAGTCTCCCCGGAGGCAGGTGAGTCTGGATGAATATATACCCGGGGGGGCACAGGGGAGTCAGCATTTCCTGCCACCATCCATTTAGAGCTGTGGTAAACATACCTAAAAGGCAATGACAAGGCTCAGTGTATGGAGTATTGCTCTATTGCTCTCTTGGAATTTCCAACTCAACAGAATCTGACAAAGTTTTAAGTCTAAAATATAATAATTTGCTCTTTACATTCAAGGCATCCAAGATAAGATTTTGACCTTTTTTTTTTTTTTAATCCTCATGCAAGGATATTTTTCCATTTATCTTCAGGTAAAGAGGGAGGGAGGGAGGGAGGGAAACAGAGAGAGAGAGAGAGAGAGAGATGTGAAAGAGACACATTGGCTGGGAACTGTAACTGAGATACATGCCTTTGATCAGAATTGAACCTGTGACTCTTTGGTCCACAGGCCAATGCTCTAACCGCTGAGCCAAACCAGCCAGGACATTGACAACTTTTTAAAAACTCCCTGAAGCATCAGTGGTCTACTGACCACTCAAGGTGGTGTGTTAACCTTAACCTTAAGTAAAAATATGCATACTATTACCATCATAAATGCAAGTATCCTAATTCTTATGAATTACACACTTATTCATGCTCGACATTTTTCATCTGCATAGTCAACTAACATGAGGGGTTATTAAGTTGTCAAGCTCACCTTTAAGTAAATCTCAAAAATACTTGAGAGTTATACCTAAAAGTGTCCTGCTTCCTTTATCACTTCCCTTTTTAGCCTTATGTAGGGGTTGATGGGATGTATGACAGAAAGGCAAAAAGAAATTGTTAGAAATTTCAGTTATGTTTATTTTCATAGCAAAACGTTTTACCTATTATCATTTAGAATTCCTTTTTCTAATTCTATTACACTATAAATTAAGGATAAAGTATTCAGTTTAATTTTCAAAGTTTGTATAATTATAAAATGTAGGATTTTATCTCCTATATTTCTCTTTCTTGACTGCTGTAAGGAAATTCTGTAAATAGTTTTTAAATACCACTAACTAAAATATACATCAAACTTTGAAAATTATGGTATATCAAATTAATATTACTCTTCTAATTAAGAGACAAAACATCTGTTCTGTTTTTTATAAGTGTCAAAAATATTGACTCTAAAAATCATGCATTTAAATCACATTTCAAGTAATCCTACATTCAGATTATTATTTATTAGTGTGAACTTAAAATAGACTAATTCAAAAGCTAGAAACTAAAATGTCAATGACTGACTTAAAGGAAAAAAAATTAAATTACTACTTAGATGTTTTTCTTCCATCTGTGTTTTAAAATATGACATACAATGTAAAGCAACAACTTACAAACAGTCTCAGAGAAATCTACCTGTGTAGTAATGCAGATTTCCTTTTAAAATAGCATGAAACATTTTCATAACATCTCTGGTGAGACCCTCAGTTTCAACTACGGTCACTCTATTTTGAGCTCAATAAACCTTTGATTCTTTAATTCCTTTTCTCGGGGAAAAATACATAATCACAAAATTAAGAACAATTTTTAAAACTTCCCTTATTTGGTATAGTGTAATTTCAATAAATAAGTTCCTAAGTGCATATGCTTTTGTGAATATTAATTTTATATTCTAATAAGTCACAATCATTTTTAACTTGACCAAATACCACTCTTTGATAGCAGAGAATAAGCCAAACAATTTTTTTCTATTGGTGTTAAAAACTTGAAAAATCAAATGCAAATCTTACAAATGCAAACCAAAACAAAAAACCCAAAAACCAAAAAACTGCACTATAGTTATTATCAAAATAGAGTAATATGCTCTATCAAAACTTTGAAAAAGTATGCATATTGAATAGTTCAAAAATCCACACCTACTAAGAGAATAAATATTACATGCTACATATTCTTTGTGCAACATTCTAAATACAAATGCTAAAAACAAATTTCTTGGGAAGCAATATAAGCAAAAGCAAATTTATATTTTACAATTTGATCATTTAAAATATGACATCCTAATACTAATACTTGAAATTCTTGCTTTTTATGTAAAAATAATAAGAATCAGTTAGGTAAAACAAACCATCCAAAATATATGGAAGAGATCTAGAGAAAGAAATATGAGACAAACCTAGAAAAGGATTAATTTTCTAAGCTAATTAAGAACTGCACTATCTTCCTCAGCACAAAACCCACATAGAATATGGAATTTTAAACCAAGTATATTTAAAAAATAAATTTCAATGCCTTCCAGCTTCTGTCATGCAGTAGACAATTTTAGCAAAACTCCCTAATGAGTTATTTAATTAAAATAAGTAACAGAACTTACACACAAAACACAAATAATAAAACTGTCCCTTTTATTACCCATTTTTTTTAGTATTCCACATGCGCCTGTACTAATTAAATCTGTATACTTTGACACTATAAACCTGTTTCCAAAAAGCAACTCCCTAAATTTTAAAAAGTGATAAAACCAAATCTGATTTCATTTAAAAACTTACTAAATGCTCTAGGTGTTTATAAAAACAAAAAACAAAAATAAAGAAAGTCAAAACTTAGAGCAGCATTTTCTGATCTTCCACTCAAAATCTCCTTTTTTGTTTTGTTTAATGCTAGCATTTTTTAAATGTTAGCTTTTTTAACTACTCAGAAAAGTAAAAAGTATCATCATTAAAAATTACTGAATTGCTTACTTGCAGAAGAAAAAGAGCAAAGGTTGGTTTGATACTGAAGAATGTACATCTTTTCCAACTTTACTTTATGTCTACATAAATATATTCTTTCAAAATGCAAATATTACATATTTTAACTACCAAGCAAAAAGCAACACTAAAATAATTAATTCATTACCAGTCTAAAGATGTCTTAATATTGTAATGAATGAGATTTTATTTTTAATTATAAAAAAATGTTCAATCATTTCTTCAAATTAAAGAGGAAAAGCCTTCAAACAGCTACAATTTTTAATGTAACCAGATAGAGGGAATGTATTTAAAGATAAAAATCACAAAGAAAGTAAAACATTTTTATCAAATATTACAAATATATACAAACTTAACATTTCCTCTCAAAATTCTAATCAAAATGTAAATCAATATTTAAAAATTCACTTGGTTTAACAACACTAAATGTCCCCTAATAAAAGTCCTCAGTACTTAAAGCCATATCTGTATCTATGAAAAGCAAAACAAAAATTAAATTTCCACATTTACTGTAAGAGAAGGCATCCTCTGGGCTACTGGATCTGAAGGGTACTGGATTATGGTCCTGGGAATTCTACAGGCTTTTGGAAACAAACATCATAGTCACAAATCAAATAGACATAGCCTGTAAAATCCTAGTGTTTTCCTAGTCTCCTCTAGCCATCTTATCACTGTACCTGTATCTTTTGTTGTCCACTGGCACAATATCCATGGCAATGTAATACTGCTGGTGAGGATCTAAGCCTGAGATCTTCACTCTCATTGCTGGAAACATACGCCTATGTATAAGGGAGGGCAGAAAAAAGTATTTGGGTTTGGGTTTTGTTTGTGATTACATGTGAAGAAAGAATAAGCAAAAGAAATATCTAGAATCCATATTTTTCACATAAACAAATTTATAGCATTCACTTTGGTAATTTAATTCAAAGAATCAGAACACGGGATATAGCAAAACTGAAGCTTTTAAATGTAATTGGTCGTACCTTACACTTGCATTCTGTGTTTACTGACATGTCAGTATAGCTAAGAGCAAAATAATTTTATACATTGAAGGAGTCAAGGCACTAAAGAAAACACTTTTAAAAAATCAATAAGCATATTTACTTTAACAATACAAATAATAAAATGCCCTAAATGGTAGAAATAGAAATTTTGAATTTCTAAAAGTGATAAAATATATTATAATGTGAAATTTTAAAAGGGTTATAAAAAACCACAAGGAGCCAATGTGCCATGCTATAACCAAACAATATGTTCTTTATTGAGACAGGACTTCCTGTCTGCAGCATGGTAAAGGTGAAGTGCAAAAGTTGCTCTAAATTTGAAAGGTATAGTAAAACTTCTTTATTGAAAGCAGAAACTAAACACAGTGTATATTTACCACATCATTCCTCCCCCCACCTTAACCTGAAAATACTTTCTTATTTAACCACACTTACTCAAAACATTGCTAATTAAGACAAATAAAAATCCGAATTTCTCTTGACTTCCCAAAGATGCATATCATAAGAGATGCTAAACTAAATACACCTATCTTTTTAAAAGGGCACAGTAGCAAGGAATACAACAGCAAATTATTGTATCTGAAGTACAAATAGAGCAGTTATTTTTAAAAAAACAACAACTTTCATCTAATGACTTATGTTTAGGACCCTTCCAGTTAATCTAATTTTTGCTAATTTACCTTATAACACAAATTTTTGTATTGTTATTGACCAATTTTTTTCTATAACAATAATGCCATTAAAGACCCCTTGCACAAAAAAGAAAGTCCATTATTCCTAACTAGGCATGAGAACAGTTTAATACACTGGCTGTTTTAGTGTTATTTCAGTGCACCTGTAAGATAAAGAGTAAAGGTCTTTAACTACATCCTTTATAAGACAACTGTTGCTTTGTGTTGTTGAAGACTGAATTTGGATCATTAATAATAGCTCTGTGAAAATGTAGAAGGTAGCATATGGATTCAATAAAATATGTTTTTGTAATTTCTAATAAGTTTGGATACTTTTATGCTATCCAGGTTTTTGCCATGTGTACTCCCTGAAAGAGTTGTGTGTGCTTTTTACATTCCTTTTAAGGAAGATATTATTCATAGACTTCACTTCACTCAATGAACTGAAAACTTTAAAATGCAAATATTTCTGTGCCTCCTTCAAATTAATATGATCTGGCCAAAAAAACCCATTTATTTTACTGACTGAGGGTTGTGCAAATTTCACTTTCAAAAAACGGATATAACATCTTACAAAAATTTATTCAGTATTCTTCAGCAAATTTAGACTAATGTGTTGGATTTCATTTAGAAAAAAATGTTAACTACGTAACTGTGGATCTACAAAAGTGGCGTTTAAAAATCAGGGTAACCATTTTTGCAGGGATTAAGTTTGTATTCTTGAAGATTCCAGTAATTTTTCATCCTAGTCTAATATCAAAATAGCACAACACACCACGTTCTCACATTGCAAGGAAATTTTTTGATAAAGAACCAATGAGTAAATTTCAAATCTGAAAAAAAGCAAATCATAGTTTGCTAAAGAGTAAACTGCGTTTTTTAAAAGGTGAGGGGGATAATCTGTTCCATAGTGCCAGAAGCGATAACTAGAGCCTAACTAAATGTCTGGACAGATGTAAATATGACCACGAATCTGTAACTACCCTGCACACAGAGTATCAATCAAAACAGCTACCATATTGGCGGCACAAGTGATTTTCTCCTGAGCATCCAACAAGAGGGTGGCCAGACTGTGCCCTTCACCGACTGCACTCCAGAGTTGGTAGGCAAAGCCAGTCTCAAAAGGGCCTTGCACGTTAACGCTAACTAGAGACTCTCCCTTCCTAACCCACCCTAGGGGTCCGGAGAAGCCAGGTCTGGGGGCCATTCACGCCAGCTGGTCCTTTACCTGCCCGCCTTGGTGATGATCATCTCCGTGCCGATCTCGTGAAAGCGCTTCCAGAGCTCAGCTCCCTGCAGATCCACCCGCGGGGCCTGCTGCGACGGCAGCGGGGTCCCGGGCCTGGCCAGGGTGGGAGCCGGGGAACCCTTCCGAGAGCCTCCCGGGGACGCCAGTGGGGAAGCGCCCTGCAGGAAGCCGTCCTCACAGCCTCCTGGGCAGCAAAGAGTAGAGAGGGGTAGCCGGTGAGGGCCCGAAAGAGGAATCTTGTTGGGAAGATGGACCTCGGGAGGGGCTGGGGAGAGGTAAAGGACCAGGAGACAAGTGGAAACTTTCCTGTCATCGGGTCCTTCTAACAAACAGGTCTACACTAAACACCCGCACTGTCCGCCAAAGGGAAGCTACACTCAAGTGGGGCCCCTTTGGCTCCCAGGTCCCGTGCGGGCCAAGTCCACCCCACCTCCGCGCGGTCAAGGCCCCAAAATAAGTTTCGCGCGGCCACTGGGGTCTGGGATGCGTGTATGGAGCCTAAGATGAATTCCCAAGCTCAGATTCCCACTGCAGACCCCGACACAGCCCGCGCACCCGAGCGCACGCAGCAAAATCGCCTAGTGCCGGGCCTCTGGTGGTAAGCGCCAGGGCCTCCCTTCGCAAGAGGCGTCCGAAGCGCCTGGCTATGGGCTGGGCCGGAGGCATCCTCCAGAAACATTTCGGAACATTTCAGACTCCGCTCCTGCCCAACTTCCCCAGCTCCCCGAGCTTCTTAGCCAAACAGCTAAGGGCCGAGAAGAGCGCGAAAAGCAAGCCCACGGCCGTTGTGGTCCTTGGCAGCGGGAATCAAAGGGGGACGGGAAGGGAACGGTTCTGCTACCCCTCGGGAAACCACGTTTGCAAATACAACGCCCTCTTCCTGGTTTGCCCAAACGGTTTAGGGCATTCGTTCCGGTTTTGGGGGGGTTATGCCGTCGCTCCCTCCACCTCTATGCTTTTAAATGTTAGGAAAGAAAAATAGAGCACCCAGCGGCTGGAATCCCAAGTAAGGCAGATGCCGAAAGCAAAGGTCGGCACGGCGGAGCGTCGCAAACAGCAGCCGCAGAGGGCGCGGATCGCCGACCGGGCAGCGGCAGCCTGAGGAGGGAGGCTGGAAGCGGCGTTTACCCGTCTGAGGGTGGCACGAGTTGCGCGGCGAGAGCGACCTGGGCGTCGGCGAGCTCTGCGCCCCGACACCTACCGCGAATGCGCTGGTAGCCGAGTTACCTCGGGCGCGCACGCCCACCACTCGCAGAAGTTCAGGTTCTCCGCGGCCGTGCGGGCCGGCGGGACCCGGGAGGGGACGCGCCGCGAAGTTGGGTGGGAAGGGGCCGACTCACCCGCGGCTCCGCGGGAGCCGCAGCTCAGCTCCAGGTCTGAGCAGCTGCGGGCCGGCCCGGATGCCGCCGCAGTCGGCGGCGGGAGAGCAGCGCCTTCGTCTCCCTCGGAGGAGCCCTTTTCGCCGCCGCGGCTGCAGCCTCCTTCATCTATGGCCCCCGCCGCCTCTTCCGCGCCCAGTTTCCGCCGCTTCTTCTGAAGCTGTTGCTGCTTCTCGGCGCCGATCAGCGCCTCCACGGAGAAGGCGTGCGCCTTCAGGCTTAACATGCTGCACGGCGAGCCCCTCCGCTTCTCCGCCATCCCCGCCGCCCGGCGCCCGCCCGCCCCTCGCTCATATACACTCACGCGGGCACACGCGCACACTCGCTCTCCTTCCCCCCACCAAAATTTGAACGACTCTTGGGGCCTCCCGCAGGCCGAGAACTGCCCCCTTCCCCGCCGCGGGCAAAAACAAATTTGGCGTTTCCTCTTTCTCGCTCGTGTTGGGATCCGCGGAACGAGCGGCGCGCCCGCCAAGTTTCCTTTCCTTGGTCTCTCTCGCGCGCTCTCTCTTACTGATGCACTCCTTCGCTCCCACCCCTTCCACCTCTTCCTGCTGTTCCAAGATCTGCCTCGACTGATGCGCCAAAGAGGACTAACATGGGTAAAAAACACTCTGCGGACACAAATTAGGGATTGTAATTGAAATTTGTTGCCTTGATCTGTCAGCACTTCCAGTCAGGAGAGCGGTGGGAAGAACTTGCTCATTAGTGTCAATAAAGCCGCGGGGGTGGAGTACGGGGCCCTGTCAATCACCGAGAAGCCCAGCCAATCGGGAGACGCCGACTCCGCGCAGCCCGCGCCCACTTCCTTACAAGGTTGCAAAAAACCTAGAGTGAAAAGCGCCGCCGTCTGGCTTGGACGTGCCAACCTCAGGAGCTGGACCGGGTCAGTCTCCTTGCTGCCAGCCCAGTCCGCCCCTGTCTCCGGCTTTCCTCACTAGGACCTGGAACTGCTGAGGCTTCTCGCCTTAAACCGAGATGATCACCAAGTTAAACTATCAAGAATACTTTAAGAAACCTTAAACTTCCGTATCACTTAATATTATTACAATTTAGAACATTTCGAAGAACAGGGAGAATTCACATCCACCAGGCCCGTCTTTTCTCATTTAAAATTTCCTGCGCCCACTGCTTCTGGCATGGCACTAGGCTTGATTATTTTTTGTTTGTTTATGTTTTATACGGTGGATTTTTGGGGGGGAGGGAGTGGGAATTAAGATATATTTAAATCCTTTATATTTAGGAGAACAAAATAAGCTCTGCCCCTCATATGAACTAGTGGGTAAAAGTAAGCCCTTTCTTGGAGACTCTCTTTTCTTACAAGCATGATAGTTAAAAATGTAGGTCGTGGTATTTAAATTCTGTATGTCTTTAATGATAAGGACTTAGTTTTTAAAACTTTGCCAAGTGGACTAAGTTTTAAGATGCAATAAAATTTCCCATTACAGAGGCAGTTTTTAAATGCCTCTGTGATTTAACCTGACTTCATATTTGTTCTACTTTGGACAATTTGCCATTTTTCCTCAGGCTTTTAAAGAGCCAACTTGTTTCTTTAAAACAAAATTTTGAAAGAACAACGCTTTTTAAACAAATAGTGCTGAACATATATCTGTACAGTTGTGTTGTAGTTTCAACTCGACTTTTTGTCCGGATTACCAAGGGGGGGGGTAATGTAAGTAGAGCAAATCTCGTGGAATAAAATTCGTAATGTATATTACTCTTAAATCTTTGATATAAAACAAAATACAAAGGATTGTTTTTCCTCTCCCTCGCTCAATTTAACCTCCACAAGAGTTTGCTGCCCTATTATCTCTGACTTCTCTCTAAGCTTTCAGTAGTGATTCAGGAAGTAGTTTTGCCACTGCGATCTTTTCACCGAAGCTCGGGGAACGCGAAGAGCCTCCAAGGCAACCAGGAGAGCGGGAACCTGAGCACGCAGTGCCCAGAAGCAGCACCTACCACCGGCTGAGGTCCGACAGCCTCAGGGTCAAAAACAACTCTCTAACATTCTTACCGTAGAGGCCCTTTAAACGCGGGAGAAACGTTTTCAACAGGGAGGAGTTGATTTACATGTTTTAAAAAAAAAACGCTTTTCGGTGGACTCCGGAGCGCCTCAAAGCCGGCGGCGCCCCATGCAGGTATTCTAGTCTTAAAAGTCAACCTAAACGGGGTTTCTGAAGCCTGGTCGAGGGCGAGCATGGGCCTAGGAGGACCAAGGACGCCTGGAGGGCTTGGGCCTGGAATGGGAGTGGGTTAGGAATGGGGGGGGGGGGGGGCCGAAGACTATACAAGAGTTGCCTCCGGAGCTGTGCGCAGCTAAGGAGTCTGTGGCCCGCAAAAGCAGCCTGCGAGGACTCAGGGCCCCGCTCTAGGCCCAAGCTCTCGGTGACTCGAAGCTGGAGCGACCCATGGCTCCTCTGAGTCACCCTTAAGGCCTCGGAGACTTGGAGGCCCTAAGGTCCAGGGGTGGAATCGCTGGGGCTCGAAGGCCTCCCCGGGCCCTGCGGCAGGGGGAGGAGGAGCGGCTGGTCCGCAGAAACCCGAGTCCTCCAAGAACCAACGTAGTTTCCAGAGGCGATGTCAGCTTGGTAGACAGGTTCTTGTCCATTTGTATTCCCCGCGGTTCAACTGACATAGAGGGGACTACACGAGCCTGCAGGATGCTCTCAGGATGCACACAGGCCCAAGGCCTCCTTAACGCCTCCGCTACTTCTTTCGCTTTTACCCGGGGCAGCGGGGGCCGCAGCCCCCGGAACGCGCGAACGCCCGGGAAATTGTGTCCACATAGACGAGAATCTGGAAAGCCGAGCCTCACAGACACCCAAGATGTTTAGATACAATGTGTCCCATAGAAATAATCCAGGTGTGCACTGAGCGCAAGGGGAAGGATGAAGGTGTGGTTCCCCTTAGTCAAGGTTCAGACTGGACTTTGTGGACCAGAGTGACGGAGCCTCAGGTTGGCGTTCAATCAGGCTCAGGCTCCGGGAGCCAGAAGGACCAGCACCAGCTGCCCACCACGCCACGAAGCGGCGAGTCTCTGACCTCACCGCAAACGGACCTTCGCTCCCGAAGAGGGGGCGCCAAACCTCTCCCGGGAACCGGAGAGAAGGAAGGTTGGAGAGGGCCAGCGGGCGGAGTCTTGGCCTTTGGAATGACCGCAATGCCCGCTACCTAAAGGCGTTTTCTCAAAAGCGTGGCACGTGTGTGCGGGGGCCGAGCCAGGGCCTTGCGCATTTCAAGTCAAGAGAGCAAAAGAAGCAGGGACAGGGCGCGAATTGGCAGGCGAAAAGCTCGGCGCGTGCGCGCGTGTGCACGTGTCTATATGTCCGTGTGTATGGATGCGCGTGTGTGCACCTGCGCGCGTAAACTTGGGTGGGGGCGTATGTACCAGGAGCGTGTGCCTCCTGTCACTTTGAAAGAAAATGTTTTTTCTCAGTAAGAGCTACGTTAAGGAAACTATTAAAACTGAATTTAAATGTCAGGCCTCTGGCAAGACTAGCCCAGCTCCATTTCAAATAAAAGTCACCCAGGGAAGAACATTATCAGAGTGTGTCTGTCTCAGCTACTTTTGTGAAAGGGAAGGGCAGAAAAGCCTTGCATGTCCAGGTCTGGGAGAATGGTACCTAGTGGAATCCATGTCCAGCCAGATAGCAAAACTAACTGGAGCGGGGTGGGGTGGGGGTGGGGTGTTAAAAAGCAGGGAGTTTAAAAACCATGTCCGATTCCTCTTACTTATTTTTCTCCGTGCATTTTTAAATTGGGCAGCTTCAAAAGATTCTTTTTTTTTTAAAAGTGCATTTTCTGTCACCTCCCGCTGTGCTTTGTCAGCTGTTGAGAGAGAGCAAGCTTGTTATTTCTAATTACCTTGCATATGCTACTTGTATTTTCTTTATAAGCAATTATTTATTTCTAAATTTAAAAATCATCTGCGTCAGGATTTCATTCTCTAGATAGACTTTTTTTTTTTTTTTTTTTCTTTAACACTTGACAATCGCCGTAAGAGTTTTTAACCTTTAGGTCTGATTTCCCAGACTCAAGACCTGACACAAGGAGGTAAGCCCCGGCATACACAAGAGTCTGTTCTTGCCCCCTCCCCCCCGAACTTGAGGCGCATCAAGTTGTCCCCGAATTTCCAAACAGGCAATAACCGGGACTTCCTCTCCACGTACGTAAAGGCGTTTATTATTATCTAAAAGATTAACCCGGTGAGAAATACAGAAATAGATGGAAGAATAGCGGTGAATAAGGACCCAGTCCAAGCACCAAGAGGGGTACTTATTTGGCGGCGTTATTTAGAGTTTAATATGGGAAAAAGCTGTATACTAAGGAGAGGCAGTGGACAGTCCAAACCTCCCTGAGTCTCAAGATGCGGGCTGAGGCTCCCTCTCTCCTCCCTTCCTTCCTCTACCCTTTCCCACTCTATTTCTTCTGTTTGCACATACTCTTCTAGCCTCTCCCTCTCATCTGGGTTAATAAAAATAATGAATTGTAACCTGTAGAAATGTACAAAGGCTACAGGAGTAAATCTGGCGGCCAGGGGCTGGACCAATGCGCTCTGGCGGGCCTCCTCCCTGCCGGGTTGCGGCTGCAGCTGCAAGCCCAGGCCCCGTGGAGAAAGCGATCCAGAACCGCAGTTCCTCGCTGCTCGCTTCTGTTCTGGATTTGCACACACACAGCACCTCCCCAGGTGTTGGCAACTATTAACTATCCTTCTCTTCCAACAACCAGTCTCTTCTAGATTCCTATCAGCTGGACCGAGTTCCGCTACAAAATAACTTGTGTGGCCCACCGAAGAGCCTTTTGCCCCCCACCCCCCACCCCAACGCCCAAACTCGGTTCTGGCTCAAAGATATTCTCCAATCAATGCTCATTTTACAAAGGGGATTTGGGGAGATGCGAGATTTGGGGAGAGCCAAAGGGGAGTGTACTTGCCTTCATACCTCTCTCTTTTCCACCTTCAAGTTCTCCAGCTGGGGGAAGAGAAAGGAAGGGAGGGAGGGAAGGGGCCTCCGACTGATCAAGTGGAAGGGCAGCCAGGAACCTGTGATATGTGTCCAAAAGAAAACTCACTGGGCTGAGCGAATTATCTTTCCCACTCTTGTCCAATTCCAGCAATATGTGCTCTGCCTCCAGAAATATTGCAGATATTTTTCACCTTGTGTGTAAAAACCTGTAGCCTTCAATTCCTCATTTATTTACCCACATTCCTCCCACAACCCTACATTTAGGGGTTAGTAGCAGAAATGTCTAAGAAGTCCACACTTGTGACTATCACTCACTAATACCTGATCCAACTAAAAGGTGGCTT